TTACAGATAGACGATGCAGTGGTATTAAATAACATCCACCCACTTATAACTTGCTTTATATATTTATAAATAGCACCAGGATGAACATCAAAACATTTTGCTTCCTGAATTTATCCCAATCAATTCAAATTGAGATTTGAGTGTCAAGATGAACTCATTCAATGAGAAATATTGAATTATGGTGAAGACACTTAATGAAGCAATTTATCAAGCAGGCGATACACAGATAGGACACTGATGAGTTTCTCAATATCACACTGCTGGATAATGTCCCGCACACCCACAACAGGGGAGTCTAACACAAGTGTAGCACACACTTTCACACAGCCCCTCAGTAGGTTGACTGGGTGCTGGTCGACAATTGATGTGGCAGTACTAACCTAGGGGTGAGGGGTGAGCATTATGTAACAGGGGTGACGGAAGGGAGTCTGACACAAGTGTAGCACACACTTTCACACAGCCCCCTTCAGTAGGTTGACTGGGTGCTGGTCAACCATTCATTTAGCAATACAGCCCTTGGGTTGAGGGGTGAGCATTATGTAACAGGGGGTGATGGAGGGGAGGCTCACACAAGTGTAGCACACACTTTCACACAGCCCCTCTCAGTAGGTTGACTGGGTGCTGGTCAACCATTCATTCAGCAATACAGCCCTTGGGTTGAGGGGTGAGCATTATGTAACAGGGGTGACGGAGGGGAGGCTCAAACAAGTGTAGCACACACTTTCACACAGCCCCCCTCAGTAGGTTGACTGGGTGCTGGTAGTCTCTCTCAGTCCCTGAACCTTATTATTTTCCCTTCCACCCAGCCCTCCCTGCAATGCTAAAGCCCTAAATAAAGCAAGTCTAGATTTCCTCAGGTTCAGGCTCTGGTCTCCCTGGGGCTCCTTTTCAATTTAAATGGGTTGATTTGTTACAATCAAAATTATATATATTCAGAGACTAAGCGTTAGTCTAGGGTGCTGGCTGACCCTCGATTTAACAATACTGCCCTAGAGGTGAGGGGTGAGCATTTTGTCACAGGGGGTGAGGAAGGAGGGAGGGGGTGAGGAAGGAGGGAGGGGAGCACTCATGAGGGTGGGATGAGAATAGTGCTGCGTGTGAGAGGGCAGTATCAGGGTTGATGTCAAATCAAGAACAGAGGTTGGAATGAGGAATGCATTAGCGTGTATGTCATACTCATCACTTGTCTGACGGATATAAACAAAATGCTCACTCAGCAGAATCAGTACTGCTATGTGTGTACCATGTGAAATAATAGTGTGAATACTCATTGTGTTTTGTTAGACAGCACAAACATTGGTGTTCGGTTATAGGGCACGTGCCGTGGCATGGTTTTTGGGGTTAGCATACAGCTAGGGGCACATTAATAGGTTACGATATGTGTTAGGGGCACATTAATAGGTTATGTTATGTTACAGGGGCACATTCATAGGTTATTTAGGGTTGTAAGGGCACATTCTCAGTTGCTCAGTGTTAATCGGCACACTCTGAAGTTACTCAGTGTTATATTAGCATATGTCAGTTAATCAGTCTCATAGGGCACCCCCAGGTTACTCATTGTAACAGTGGCACATTCCAAGGTTACTCCGTGTCTATAGGGCCTACTCAATAGAGCTACTACTAAGTGCTTGTTGTAAACATTCCTCAGCTACTCAAGTTAATTGGGGCACACTCCTAGGTTGCTCAGTGTTACAAGGGCACATTCCAGGATTCTGGGAGTGTGGGTTCAAATCCCGGCTGGGACTCACCCCCCAAAAGTACTGGGGTTTTGTATACTTTGCAAAGAAATTATTACCCCAAATATAACACATGTTACATCTGAACACTTTTCCAAAATGCATTGTGTAATCCCAGATTTCTTATCCCAACTTTTGTTGAATTTTTTTACATCATTTCTGTTACGGTTTCAATTGCATCTTGACTGTGTTCATATCTGCATCTGGCCACATCCTGGCCTCTTCCTGTTGGAACAATGCCTCACTACTTCATGTTTAGAGACACTCAACTGTTGCTGTAAACATCTGCACAACTGCAGGATTACTGATGCAGCGCACAACAATGACTGAGCATCCATGCATGCATGCACATTGGGAAACATTAATATATTTCTTTTCCATTAATATTTAATGATAAATCCCAAGTCTATTATACGTAAAAGTAGGTCCAACATCCAAAACCTTCATCTTGGATATTTCTCCCACATCAAGTTAACACAACATCAGATAACTGTGCAAAGTGACATTATACCCAACTCGGGGCAGTGGGGTAGCCCAGTGGTTAAAGCGTTTGCTCATCACGCCGAAGACCCATGTTTGTTTCCCACATGGGTACAATGTGTAAAGAGGATTTTTTGTGTCCCCTGCCGTGACATTGCTGGAATATTGCTAAAAGCGACGTAAAACTAAACTCACTCACTCATTAAACCCAACTCACTCATTCACAGATAATTTGTTATTTTCATAATTATTATTATTATTAACCATTAAAATGAAATGGACGAACAAAATGACAGCCAAGAAATGTTTCCACAAACCATTCAAGAACATTTCAAGAAAGCAGCAAAAACAAACTGCAAGTTAGCATGACAATGTGCTTTATAAAGTCAATATGGAGAGTACACATTCCAGGTAGGATAGGCCGCTTGGAGCTGTCAACAGAACCACAATACTTAAACTGACCAGTTGTCAGCTAACATAGGCTCACAAACTGACAGTCATGAAATGTCGCAATACAATATTTGAAAAACTTTATAGTAGGCAACAAAATAAAAGGTGCAAGTTAGCATGACAGTGTTTTATGATGCCTGTACACAAAAAAATACACATCCTGGAAAGGATGGGCAAGTTGATTGGAGCGGTCAACAGGATCTCTACAATACTGATCTGCTTTCTCTGTTAACTTCCGACTAAGCAATATTTCAGTTCTTTGCAGGAGTCTGTATTTTACTGAGTCCACATCAGTTGGGTTCAAGGTACTGTTAACAATTACATCATGTCTTGGCAACTTCAATTGAAGATCCGGGTTACAAATAGTTTTCAGCAACCATGCTTGTCGTAAGATGCGACTAACAGGATTGGGTGGCCAGGCTCGCTGACTTGGTTGGCAAATGTCATCGTATCTCAGTTGAATAGATCGATGCTTATGCTGTTAATCACTGGATTGTCTGGTCCAGATCAGATAATTTTCAGACTGCCACCATATAGCTGGGCTATTGCTGAGGGGCGTTAAACAAGAATAATGTGATGAAGATGTTGGATGTTGATTACCATGACAACCATCAATGAAGATATGAATTATCTGTCCACGAACAAATGCTAGCATCTTGTTTGATGGAAATCCGTTCAGTGAGGAAACAAATATGAGGAAGTGAATATTTTGTTACGCAATATCCAGCTATATCCCAAAGTTAGTAAATTATACGACACATCATCAAGACACGATCTAACCATCACTCAGGGTACATAGTGTAGTCACCCGATCCTCACTCTAGTTAGTCATCACTGAAGTAGTATCAGGACCTAGTTTGACCTGTGACCTGAGTCAACATCTATTAGTGAGCGAGTTTGATTTTATGCCACTTTTAGCAATGTTAGAGCAATATCACTGCGGGACACCTGAAATGGGCTTCACACATTGTACCTTTGTGGGGAATCGAACCTGGGTCTTCTGCGAGACGAGAGAACACTTTAACCATTAGGCTACCCCACCGCCCCTCAACATCTACTAAAATATAGGTGTAATTACATTAACACTTAGTCCCAATGATACAGTTGTCTCATTACAAAATATACACGTGTCCATAAATACAAAATATAAACGCAAATGGAGCAAAGAAGAAAGCTTAATTTTCCTAGAACTGCATCAATCTAGATTTGCCATATCATTCTAGCCTTGAATTGGCTTCATTTCTGAATTTATTCTCTTGTCTCCAGGTGTAATCTATTAGTATGAGTTCAGAGAATGATAAATGTATCCTAAAAATGATCCACTGTAAAAAGTAAACACATGACACTCAATGAAATATTGGACCAACATGATAAAATCTTTAAAGACAACTGATCATTACAATGTGCATTAACACCTGTGACATAATAAGAAATGGATGATTTAATTACAAATTGTTTGACTAATCAATGCAGCACTTTGTCATGTCCACTCCAGAGAGAGCAATCAGAATTCACCACCTGATTAAAACATCTGAAGGCACATGTGCATTATTATACCATCATTGTTTTCATCTTCTAATCCATCAAAGATAATAAACCATTTCCTATTAATAATGACACACAACCATCTTATTACCAGTTACAATCAAAATGATATAGGGTAAAAAACATTACGAAGGCTACACCTCATCACATAAGTTTCATCAATAATCACAATAATAATGTTAATAAAAAAATCGACAATTAATCGTTTCCTATCATCAATAGTATTCTACATATAGTAAACTATGTTTATAACAAACATGCTTATAAACAAACTGACTTCATCACACAACCCTTAATCAATTACAATAATAATGTTAATGAAAAATCGACAATGAATCGTTTCCTATCATTAATATTATTCTACATACAGTAAACTATGTTTATAACAAACATGCTTTAAAACAAACTGGTGAATATAACGAAATGATTTCATCATACAACCCTTAATCAATAACAATAATAATGTTAATAAAAACATACACGATGAAACATTTCCTATCATTAACATTATTCTACATACAACATCTATATTAAACATGCTTATAATGAACTGGCGGATATAACCAACTGTTTCGGTCCCAGGCTCTTGCTGCATTAGTTTGGTCAACATGCGTATAACGAACTTCGGTTATAACGAACTAAAATTAGTGGTGACTTTGAATCATATTAACTGTTATTTACAGTTCTAACAAAGTACACCCTATACATACAATCATACTGACACATTAGGATAAACAAACAGTTACTTGACACATTATGTCATACAAATATGTGTAATCAAAGAGTTACCTAATTTCCGTATTTTCTCGGGTTTCCAATGCAACTGGAAGCAGATTCTCCTCTTCAACTGTAAATGAGGCATGTTGAGATGTCTGCGATCACGCTGCTCAGTATCCAGTAAACATTCAAGTGGAACAAGCTACACCTTGTGTTAAGCACGTACTCCCGACTCAGTGCATGTTGGCTGCAAGCACACAGCACTCCACACACAAACACTGCTGCACCGACTACCACTCCGAGCCTAAGGTACAAACGTCCTCTTCTGCTGACACTGGAAATCTCACCATACCCACAATCCTGGAATCCAGGAGTTAACCAACCGACCGACAGACGACCCACAGACTCCACACAATGCAGTTTTCAGCGTGAATACTGACATAACAGTAAATATATTCTCAATGCAGCCCCTCAATGAAAGAGCGGGTATACGTGTGTGTGCCGTCTGCTTGTCAGAGCAGACTACCACTTCACAGCTCTACACCGTTACAGCTCAAGCTGGATTATTTAATGTGACACAGTGGTAGGAGGAGTGAGGAGCGATCATTGTCCATCCATTATACATGTGTGCAATCACATCATTCTGATGATGAAATACACAAATCACTTGGCCTTCCCTACAAATCTTCTGCTGGATAATATCACTACCTATCCAGTGTCCAGTATAGATAAGCACGGACAGATCCTTTTTAGAGCAAGGTGGATAATAGCTTCATATCTTGTGTCCCATGCAACTGTGTATTTTCTTAACTGGATTAAACAGACCTGTATTCCCCTCGTAGAAGACTGGTACTGATAATACCCACTAGAGGTTGTCCCTAGATGTGCTGAGACTAGATAGCTAGATCCTATATGCTGTCAGCTCGTAACACCCACAAGGATTCGTCACACCTAAGGATACCTGCCTGTCTCATTGATACTCTTCCCATTCCCCCAAGTAGGGCCTAATTGAAAGTAGCTTTCCCTTCTTGCATTGATGGAATATTCAGGTGCCTTTTCTAAAAATATTCACTCCATGCAGTAATCTTTGCCAGTTAGACTGCAAAGCAAAAACTATAAATACTTCTGATAAACAGAGATACATTTTATGAGTAAATATATCAGCTGCTAGAACGGACAGCACTGATACAGAATATAGGTATGTAGGTAAACTAAGGGGCAGCTTCGCAGGTACTTGTTTTCTCAGGCAGGTAGGTAAGCAGCAGGTAGGTAGGTAGGTAGGTAGGTAGGGTAGGTAGGTAGGTAGGCAGGAAGGATAGTTAGGTAGGCAGGTAGGTAGGTGGCAGGCAGGAAGGAAGGAAGGAGAGTAGGTAGGTAGGGAAGGTGGGCAGGTAGATAGGTAAAGGTGGGTAGGTAGATAGGTAATAGGTAGGTGATAGGTAGATAGATAATATTATAGGTAGGTATGTAGATAGGTAGGTATGTAGGAGAGTAGGTGGTAGGTAGGTGGACAAGCAGTTGGGCAGGTAGGCAAACATTTCAACAGGGTTATTTACCTCAAATCAATGCTAAGAACACTATATGGATTTTCCACTCTCTCACAATCTCCCCATTCCTCCATAGTAAACCTACAGTACTTAACATAGTTAACTCTACTCTCTCTTTGTTAAACTTCAGGTAACAGTGAGGTCAACAAACCTGCATCAAAGACTCCAGGCATTAAAACTTGCCATAACTCAGCACACAGATTTAATTTCTTTACAAGCTGATATCTGCTGCTGATCTCATCACATTGCTCTCTATTCAACAATACTAACTTTCCTCTTCTCCAGTGGAGAGTTCCATTTCACTATAATTGGATCTGTCAAAGGAACATGTACAACATATTCAAAGCAAGTTGCTCCAAGCAATGATGTGAGGTATTTTTGTAGCAGTATATCCTGCTGACAACTAGAGCATATAGACCCTAGGTAGGAGATCAGTCATTGCGTAGACCCAAGATTGGAGATATATTGTCAACAATGTAGAACCTAGATGGTTGAGTTATTGTTAACAACAACCCAAGGTAGTAGATCTGTTGTCAACAATGTAAATACTAGTGTTAGATCCATTTTCATCTATGTAGAACCTAGTTTGGGACACTTATTGTCAACAATGTAAACCTAAGGTAGAAGATCTGTTGTCAACAATGTAAATACTTGTGTCAGATCCATTTTCATCAATGTAGAACCTAGTTGGGAGACTTACTGTCAGCAAATGTAAATGCTAGATGTATCAGATCCATTTTTTTCAATGAAGATCCTAGTTGGGAGACTTACTGTCAGCAAATGTAAATGCTAGATGTATCAGATCTAGATTCATCAATGAAGAACCTAGTTGGGAGACTTACTGTCAGCAAATGTAAATGCTAGATGTTTCAGATCTAGTTTCATCAATGAAGAACCTAGTTGGGAGACTTACTGTCAGCAAATGTAAATGCTAGATGTTTCAGATCTAGTTTCATCAATGTAGAATCTAGTTGGGAGACTTATTCACATGAACCACACAGAGATGTAGGATACGTTATATTTTCCTTATTCACATGAACCACACAGAGATGTAGGATAAGTTATATTTTCCTTCTTCACGTAGAGGATGAGGATATAATAATAGCAGGTTTTGAATGGCTAATGTTACTGGTAGATCTCCTCGTCTTACATCTCCTGTCATTTGGCTCCCAGGAGTATACTACGTATACAACTAAAGTCAGGCACCCAGTGAGAATGCGGACTTTGTGTAATGTTGGCATGAGACAGTAGATTGTTCAGACTGTCAATGTGTTACACAGGTTTCTATCACTTAAATTGTGAACACAATGACTAATATTCTGCTCATCTTAATTCTATTTTTGTTTTGCAGAACTGTATTCAATAATCACACTAATCATAATGATACAGCCCTGATGTGACTATGAAGGAAAAATATCACCTAAAGCCATCAAACATACAACTTATCAGGCAAGTTTGAAATGGAATAGAACAGTCCATCAAATATAATACTCCTCACTGGCAACGATTAGATACAAATTTAACAAGAATCCATCAAATGTATGACTGCTCGCCCACTAGATTCTATCATGAAAGACAGTTTGGTTGATATTTGAGAGATGCTATTAAAGGTTTAGTTACAGACAACAACCTACTGAGGTAATATACAATCATCTTTTCATAAATAATTGATGCAGTGTAACTAGAAGACAAACTAATACAGTAAGCTCTTCAGAAATGTCATGAAACCGATCAGCTTTCATTCAAGTTAATAATTACAAGGAAGGCTCTGTTGGCCCTAAAGTCCAAGGTGACTCAATTTGCTGTGCAGAGTGGTGTCCCTTGGGCATGTCAGGAACCTGTAATCATTGGATTGAATCACAGGTTCTGTGACATAAGTGTGACAGGCTCTTGACCTAAGTGGTAATGTCTGTGACCTGCATCACTTTAATCCCACACCAAGTTGACATGCCATGACATAACTGAAATACTGTTGCACTAAACAAAAAGCAGACAATCACACTCATGATAATGCTTGAGTTTTGGTAAAGAACTTTGTTCCATATGCATCCTAATCTAACCTGATATCATAACAGAAAGTCAGTTGTATATAAGTGAAGTCTGCTTTGATAGCAAAATATGAAAACATGCTAAATCTGATGACAAGTTCTAAATGGTAAAGAGCTAAGACCAGATATCAAGAACTTTGTTCCATATGCATCCTAATCTAACCTGGTGATCTTGATTGCTTTGATCTCCCATGCTAAAACTGATTTAACATAGAAGCTAAGACTATGATCCAGTCATACTTTAGCACAGAATTATGACAGTAATATACGATGCTTCGCTTTGAAACGGGCCCTGGAGTCTTTGAACAGTATTTAGAAGTGGTACAAATAAAGGCAAGAATTAATGGATGTCAACTTCTCTATTTTGAGAAACATGACATATCAGAGTATATTCTTACTCCATCATCAGGTGATGATTATACTTCAAAACATTGTGTTTTTCAAAATGAAATAAAGAAGCTGACATCCATAAATTCTCACCTTTATCGAAGACCAGCATCACTTCTGGATTTCCCCAGAATGAAAAGATCCAGTTTTAGTAAAACAAATTCAAATAGGACATTCTACCAAGCATAACAAGTAACACTTTTTATTGTTTGCCTACAGTGATAAATATTTTTGAAATCATGAAAGTTATGACATGCGCTTAAACGCCATGATATAACTGGAATACTGGTCAAAGCAACATTAAATCCAACTCACTCACTCTCTTAAAACAACAGGAACTTTGTTGCATATGCATCCTAACCGGAAATAATTTTTCTTCCTTGTATAAAAATATTAATATCTTTAATGAAGACATGTTCCAAACACTGACAAAACACCTTACATTACTCTTCTTGGTCAGTAGGCCAAGACACCTGCTATGGAAGTGTCCCCAAATCTGGATGTACAGAGGCATCGTATCTGAGCAGAAGATCTTATGTTAAAGAGACACACTCACAAAGTCACGATCATTATATCTTCAAGGATGTATTGAACATGTGGCTGTATGAATACACTCCATTTATTCCATGTCCTGGTAGCTAACTTTCCGTTTCGCTGGGTGTGAAATCCTACAATGTTTACAGGAAATAGCTTCCAGGATTAATATTTTACTTTTCTTTCATCCTCCATCTTCTCTAGGCAGGGGAGTTAACTGACAATAAATATCCAGCTTGCACCTTTGAACTATCTCGGCTGATGGAATACTAATCTAGGAGTTACAGCTAAGCTTCATTGAAAGTGAGCAAAATCTATTCCATTATCTTCCTGATCCACCGGAACATGAGTCAAGAAGTGGACATAAACAGCACTTTCTGAACACATGCGCAAACAACGGTATATTATAACTTTATTCAATGATCAATGTAATACATCTTTTGTACTATGGCTCAAACACAGAATAAATATCAGACCAACAAGTTTCTGGCTATAAATCCACAACTAGACATCACAAGAATAGTTAGTCGGTAGATGTTCATACTTCGATTGTGTCAGCCGTAATCCTATTATAATAGTAGTAACCTTCAATGAAGGAGTCCACAGTTGTCCATATATCCTGTCAGAGTTAAGATCTGATTCTGATGAGAAAGCTGGCGACAAGCCGTGGCCAAGCCACAGGAGTATGAGAACACACTGGATCATCTGAGCCAGTTGGGGAAGCAGTCACTGATTGGTCCATCATTACATCCTCTTCTAGTGACATATTTCACTGAAACTAGATGAAATTACAAAATATTCCAGAAAACAGATTAAGATCCTGTTATATTGAATACAGCAATATCTCAACCATTTCTCTGGTCCCGACAGCAAGACTTATAAAATACACATAAATCTGACTCATTTTTTAAGCTAGAAAGCCACTGCACTATCTCCAATCTAAGACTCAGCCCCAGATTTACTATACGTGTACAGTTTTGTAACTTAATCTAGCAGTGGCATTTGCCACATTAACACTTTTGAGAAGCATGAACAAGCATTTTACATCATGGTGAGCAATTCTCTGAGATTTATCTGCTAAATTTCTCAACATTATCATTTGAAACAGCTGCAAAGAGTACAGTAAAATTTGTACTAATTTTTCAACCAATTTTGTACCTGCCTTTTAATCCAATTGTAAATCATAACTCATACAGACAAATACAAAAACATACGTAAAGTCACAGTTCCGATGGTTTTCAGATACAGGGGCCAACTCGCGGTGTCTGAGCGGGATATGCGGCAGACTTTGTGTGCTGGTGATTAGGTGTCTGACTGAGGGTGTGGGTTCGAATCCCGGAATGGGACTAAATCCAACAAAGTACTAGAATTTGTACTTTACTAAGAAAGTGTAATCCCAAATATAACATATGT